GAAAGAAAGAAAGAAAGAAAGAAAGAAAGAAAGAAAGAAAGAAAGAAAGAAAGAAAGAACAGGAGAAGAGATGATTGGCTGACTTTGTGTAAGAGAGAACCCTGGCACGGTCAGAAACAGATGCAGGGCAGCAGAGCACCATGCCGGCTTCAGTGCAGGACGCAGGGCAGCAGCTTTTAGTGCAGAGGCCAAGAGTCTACAGGATCCAAGACTTAACAGAAAAATAAACCCTGAGTATCTTCTTCTCTGAAATGAGACAAAAACCAACCCAACAAACAAACAGTGTCGTCTTTAACTATTTCTCAGCAGAGAGAAGCAGGAGGAAGAAAGTCAGACTGAAAATGTTGATAATCTTGTATTAAGCAAGAGGGGAAGTTGTACACAGAAGTAGAACAGTGGCTTGAGGGAACTGGGAGAAACACAGAAAGGGAATTCTGGAGATTGTGGGGAAGGTGGGGGGTTTTGGTGGTGGTGGTTTTTTGGGTGGGTCTAGCGTTGTAGCCTAGGCTGGCCTAGAACTCACAGCCATCGCCTTGATTTAACTTCCAAGAGCTGGGATTGCAGGTGTGTGACACCCCGCCCAGTGTAAGAAGGCAGCTTTGAACAAGCAGGAGTGAAAGCTAGAACAAGTAAGTCAGTTTACACTGGCTCAAAGCCATGGAACTTTTTCTCCAGCAGAGCCGAGAGAGAAAGTGTAGTAGCCTTCGTTCAGAGGTGGAGTTTAGGAAGGCGGGAGACAAGTTGTGGGGGAAAGAAGGTCCCTGTCAGGATAATTACTGATAACATGATTAACAGGAGAAGGGAAAGCAAGCAAAGGGAGCGATCCTTGGTACTGTGAACTGCTGGAAGGCGGGAAGCAGAGAGGGTGCTGCTCAGTGAAAGACCTCTGGGAGCCTGATAAAGTGATTCCAGAACCTTCTGGTATTTCCTCAACAGAGCGAAAAGGTAAATGTCCTTTTAAATCATTAACCTAACTGGCACTTAAGTCTGGGCAGACTCTGCTGGGTTGATGATAAGATTGTGTGTCCACTCCAAGGCTGGTAAGGCAGGCTCCACCATTGCTGTCTGGACAAGCCCAATTCAGGCTCCCTCTTTCTGCCAAAGCAGGTCAGAGGTCTGTGCCAGGACTGCCTCACTCTGGCTAATGACCACATTCCAGGATGTAGCACGGTTGGTACCAGCTTCAGGCTTTTAGGGAGTCCCGCTCTGACCCTCATTGACTCTGCCCCTCACCACAGGAGACAGAGGCCAAGGAGATATTCTCAGAGCTCATAACTTCCTTCTAGACCTCACCAGGGCATTACTTCAGAATTCCTTGTTCAAGTGTACCAAGACTAATCCCAGGACCTGCCTAGACTTCTTTCTCAGCCCTCTTTCTCAGAGTGGACTACAGTAGTAGGATGTGTCATGGCTCTAGGCTTGCCAAATGGAACCCACTGCAGAGAGTGTGGTGTGTGGCCTAGGGCATCCTCACAAAGGTTGGGGAGAGAAGAGAGGAGCTTCAGATCGGGGTCCCGGCTCCCCCAAGAATCTACTTTCTGGCCCAGAACCCGGAGAAGTCCAAGAATTTTACATTCTAATCTAGTTGGCTCTCTAGGAACATAGTTTTTAGCAAAGTGGGAAAAAATTTCTTTAACAATTTCACTGGTAATCCTCCACCCCCCACCCCATCCTTACAGTCAAACATATGGAGTATATTGCTCCATTTGTCTCCTGACCTTTGACCCTTGATGGACCAACCTGAACCCCTCTTAAGATTAAAAGTCATCTTGTGGCAAGGTCAAAACAAATTTATTCCCATTTTTATGTAAAACTTTGACCAGGTCTTGAGCAAATTTCTGGGATTTGCCATGTTCTACACCCTATACCCTGACCTCCACCCTGATAAGATGTTCTGCCAAATAATATTTGAAATATTTATCCAAATTCATACATAACCAAAATTCTGCTGGAAATCCCCCAATCCTTGAAAACCCCCTAGTCTTGAAGTTTTGGGGGGCTGTATAAACCCCACCTTTTCCTATATTTGATGCTGTTTTCTCTAACTCCACTTTAGGGAGATAGCCCTATCTGACAGAAAATAAAGTTTGTGTCATTTGCCCAAAGCATTTGACCAGTGGTCTTTACTCTCAAGCAGTAGGGTCAACACTTTACAGACGTTAAAGAGGGTCTGATCCTAGAATGTATTGTTTACCTCTAGGAAAAAACAAAAAAACAAAAAACTATCCTGTAAAATGATCATTGTAGGTTTACCTGATATCAGTTAGTCTGAATTGCATTTCAAGACAGCAAAATACAGAGATCGTTTTAAAATCCTGTTTGGATTTCTCTATAGATTTAGTAGCTTAAGATTCTTTCCCCAGATTTTGTTATTATTTGGTGCCATTTGACGGTGTGTTTCTGTGGTTTTTTATGCTGCTCTGATTATATCTAAGTTGCCTGTTTTTTGTCTCCCTATGACATTTAAATGACACAGCCAAGCCTTATATATATGCTCCACCGGCCAACTACCAGAACATGTTCCCAGTACGTCCCTTAGGATCTCAAGGCTCGCTTATGGCATCTTTTTATACACTTCAGATGCTTCCTGACACAAGCTGACCAGTGCTGTGTTTGAGGGAGTCCTTCCCTGCAAGTTCCCGAGCCATCCTCCTTCATACTTCAAGGCATAGAAACATAGAGAGATTGACAGTTTTCGTGGCTGAACTGGGTAGAATAGAAGAGAGATTCTCCAGATGGCCCTACGGGATCCGCCGTCTTTGCTGTCTTTCGCCTTGACCAGACCTCCACTGCAGAGCAACCTCAAAATGGGAGAGGAGCTCTTGGGGGAACCTAAGCGAGGAGTGTTGCAGGAAAATTTGCCAACACATCTCAAAGTCCTCTTTGGCTGATATCAAACGGAGCTCAGCTTCTAAAGAGCGAGAAAAGAGCAGGGATCTAAGATGGAGACTAATCTTCCCGACTGGGCTGCCTTCGGGTCACCAGTGAGTGACACAGGTGAGGTCATGCTACATTTCTCCTTCTGGGTTTGTATCGCTGTGAAGGGTGCCTAGAGAAGCAGAGTCGTGAGAGTCTAGTCAGCTTACTCTTTACCCACACGGCGAAGAATTATCCCATCCAAATGTCAATATTGGTAAGAGGTTGAGAAACGCAAGAATAAATAAACTATTTCTAAATCTCCTTTCTGCCAGAACCAAATGAGGTGTTTCTTTCTTCCCTTCTTCTAAGCACACGAAATCGTTTCTCTTTCACACAAAATCGCTCAGCTGTGGGCCTGAGTCTCTGGAACATCCCTTCCATGTGTGGGCTCTGTGTTTCAGCTGCCTGACTTTATGGCACCTTCCTATCTGCGCATGCTTCCTCCACTTCTTTCCCTCAACTCCCCCACAGTATCCCCAGGCAAACACTAATCAATGCTCTATTTCTACACAGTTACCCATTCTGAACCTTACACTCATCATGGAATCATAAACACATGTTCCTGGGCTGGGCGGCGATAGCAAACGCCTTTAATCCCAGCACTTGGGAGGCAGAGGTAGGCGAATCTCTGTGAGTTCGAGGCCAGCATGGTCTAATAAGAGATAGTTCCGGGACAGGCAGGGCTGTTATACAGAGAAACCCTGTCTCAAGAAAACAAAAACAAAAATCCATGTTCCTTTGTCGTGGGGTTCTTCCACATAGCCTGCCTTCACTGTCCATACGAGTTATACCTACTTTTTAGATGTTGTAAATAATGTTGTTATGAACATTTATAGTTAAGTTTCGTGTGGTCATATTTTTATTTCTTTGGGAACATGAACTTAAGAGTTGTTGGGTCATATGATAACTAGATTTAGCCTTTTGAGAAACTGACACCCTTTAGGACCAAGACGATGTCTCAGTGGGCAAAAGCACTTTTCCACGGAGCCTGGCAGTCTGAGTTACAAGGCCAGGACACACAAGAAGGTTACAAGCTACCCTCTGATCCCCACGTGCCTGATGTGGCACATACAAATTAATAAGTATAATAAAAAATAAATTAACGGAGACTGCCCCCTTCTTTCCCACATAACTGTACTCTTTGTCCCATCCCTGCCAACAATGCATGAGGGTCCATCCCGGTGACAGCATTAGTTTGAACAGGAATCTTCTCCTCACAGCTCCCACACACAAATGCTTAAATTGTTCTAAAATAAAGCTCCCCACCACCCCCTCCCCACCAGCACGCTGTGGAACAGCACAGCCAAGGGCTGCGAGCCTTGGAACTGCCGGCTAAAACAAATCCTCCTCTAGCTTGTTCTCTCGGTTATTTTGGCCATGGCTATGCAAAAACAACTAATACAGCCCCAAGGTCCCCATCCCTCAGGACCCCTGTCACCCTGCAGTCTTTTGACTGCAGCCAGAGCAGAGGCTGTCTCAGTGTCCCATCGCAGTTTCGATGGGCACTTTTCTGAAAGTTCCAGACAGCAGGCGTCTTTTCCTGGGTTTGCTGCTCAATTCTGTTGTCCCCACAAATTCACCAGGAAAGGATGCAAGATTTAAAAAAGGGAGGCTTAGTTTCAAATACGAGCAGTTCCCGAGCCAGGGAAATTCAGACTTTGGTGCAAAATTAAAGCGTGTTTCAAGGAGCAAAGAAAAGGTTGGCTCATGCTGAGGCCACGGCCCACATTCTCGCCCCCCACCTGCTTATGTAAATTAGGCTGCAAACGCCAGAAAGTGCTCAGCCTTGACGAGTTGAAGGTTCAGCACAGTTCATTGGCCAGACCCAGGAAGCCTTTCTGGTAGCTGTTTATTTGGGCAATTAAAACAAGAACAAGCCCAGGCAAGACACTCAAAGTTGAGTTTGAATTTCACCAAGTATTTGTGACCCCTCCATCAGCAAATGGCCACCAAGCTTCCTTCTGAACTCAGACCCAGGCAACACTGGGTGCTCTTCTTGACGGTCTGGCTTTTTATTAACGTTCACTCTTCGGCTCTTCATCCATTTTCAAGCTGGGCAGTTTGCCTTTTCATGTTACCGAGTTGTAAGAGTTCATCTCTATATTCTAGACACAAACCCCACATAAACGCAAGATTTGAACAGTTTCTACCATTCTATAAGTTTCTTGTTAGTATTATTTGAATAAAAATGTTTAAGGTTGGGAGTAGGTTGTTTGGTCGGTTCGCTTTTTGTTTGTTTGTTTTTTCCATTTGAGATAGGGTCTCCTACAGCCCAGACTGGCCCCGAACTCAATATACAGTCAAAGCTGGCTTCAAAGTCCTATTCGCCTACCTCCATCTTCCAGAGTCGGGGATCAACGCAGGGCCACTACACCCAGGAAGGTTTTAAATCTGATGACGTCTGCCTTATGCTGTCTTTGTTTCCCCTGCTTTGGCGTCCTGAGAGACCACGTGAACGAAGAAGGTGGTGTTCTCTCCCAAGCGTTCATCATCTGAGGCTCAACCTGGCCTCTGATTTCACTCTGTGCCCCTTTTATGTTTGCTATGAAGTCTTTGCATATGAACGCAGTCCCCCGCCTGCTGCTCTTTACCCGACGGTTGGTTCTGACACCCTTGTTACAAGTGACCATAAAAGGCAGTGTGAGATGAGTTTCAGAAAACTACGTCTTTCATTTCTACAGTGTTTAAAGAAGAACCTCAACACCCTAGCTCAAGTTACGGTAACCCTTCTGAATAAATAAAAATGTTCAGAATAGAAACCACTTCAATGCTTTCTTGTTTCCTCAAATCCAGTTAGAAAATTCTACGTATACCTAGATGTGGTTTTTCATCAGGACAGACCATGGAAGTCAATAAGCTGCAGAACTGAGTGTGTGCATAAGGTTTCCCTAGTTGATATGTGTGTGTGTGTGTGTGTGTGTGTGTATGTTTGTGTGCATGTATATGCTCATTAACCTTGAGTTCTACCACTGAGCTATACCCTGATCTTCAGCCTTAACTTGTTATAAAATTTATAGAAATTGAATTTCTATATTCTAGTATTTCTATATCTTTAGTATTTCAGTCTAGACTGCTATTTTTTTAAGATTTATTTTTCATTTATTTAATTGTGTGTATGTTGGCACATGAGTACAGGTGCCTGGGGAGACGAGAGGCGTTCAACCCCTCTAGAGCTGGAGTTACAGGTGGTTGGAAGCCAGCTGATATGGAAGCTCTTGGGACCTGTGCAAGAGTCATAGACTCCCTTAACCATTGAGTCATCTCTCCGGGTCCGAGAAAGTGTTTCTTGACTCAAAGATCTCTTTCCAGCACTTTGGCAGGTGAGTGGGAGAAATAAAACATAGGACTCTAATCTCACAGGTGGAGTACAAGGGTTATCTCCTCAAATAAGATAAGGCTCAGGATGGGAACATGGATGTTGGTTTTATTTGTCAAGTTTGTTGATTTTCGGCAATGCTGGGAGTTGTTCCCAGGGCCTCTGGCATGCCAGGGAAGCACTCTACCACGGGCTGAAGCACCAAGGTCCTCTGCCTGGATGGAACCTTGTTCTGGATTGAGGGTTTTTTTTTTGTTTGTGTTTGTTTGTTTTGTTTTGTAAACTGATTGATTCCCATTCTAGACCTATTTTTAATTTAATTACTTTTAATTCCATTCTGACTTGAGTACTCATATTTAATTTCTCTTCATACTTATGAACAATAGCTAAGGGTGTTTTGACATTTATACCATAAATATTTTCTGTTGTTTCGCTGTTTGGAGTGTTGTAACATTCTCCTTCAAATGTGTGCAAGCATTGAACTGGGCAGTGATGTAAGCTGATTAATGGATGTGTCGGTTGTTATCAAAGGCCCGGTTATTAAAGTCTACCTTAGAGTAAGTTATTAACTCTCTAATTTAAAAGCAAAAGTCCTTTATCAACTTCTACTTCCCAGATGAGATAGGGGCACCATTGACGGTAGGTAATCACCTGTGTACTTTAGCCGCTGAACGATGGGGCCAAATGGATGGCTACTTGTTCAAGGACCTGGTTTGAAATTCGTTCAAGTCGATGAGGGTGGGGAGAAGAGGCCTTGGAATCTTGTTACCTTTGTGATACTGTCTCCTTACATTTTGTAAAGTCTGCATTTTCTCTGTTTCAAATCCTTCAAAATCCAACATCCCAGAAGCCCCCTCGGCTTGCAGCTTTGCCAAGCCCAGTTCTAGGAAGAGACAAGTTGTGACAGTCTCCTCCTTGGAGGCCTGCCTTTCCAACACGGGCCAAATTCCCAGGCTGTGTGAGTCCAGAAGCTGGGTCTGTGTCTTCACAAGTACCCTGAATAACGATATGACTTCACTCCGGGGAAGGGTCACAGGGCGTTGCTACCATTCAAATTCTAGTATACACCCTAAACTTTTTAAATAAAATGGATTCGGGTCCTGGCCAAAAAGGAGTGGCGCTCAGTCATGGCCCAAAAGCATGAGCCTATTGCAACATCCCCGCATTTTCTCAGGGCAGAGTGAATAGGTGGATTCTAGTGTAATTATCTTGGTGTAGCTGAAAATTAAATGACTGATGATATGATTTAAATATCTATTTAAATACCTTCCTCTGGTTACACTTATTTTTGAACGACATGCTACTAGCAAATGGGCTACTAGTTTTCCTAGTAGATTAGAATCTGAATGGGCACATGAAAAATAGCCTTGCTCCAATAGGTACCTTCTCCAGGGACCATGAGAGAGTTGTTCTGTTTACTCTAGCTCTTCACACGATCTGCTGTTATAAGACCTGGAATAATATAGGCCTTGCCCTGAAGAGTATAGATACTAAATAATAAAGAGAGTGCCTGTGGTGCTTGTCAGTGTGTGTGTGTGTGTGTGTGTGTGTGTTCCAGGGGTCAATTTCAAGTGTCTCTGTGTGTGTGAGAGGGTCTATGAGTCTATGTATGTGGTGTGTGTGTCTGTGAGTCTATGTGTGTGTGTGTGTAAGTATGTGTGTGAGAGAAGGTCTGTGAGGTTATGTGTGTATGTGTGTCTGTGAGTCGATGTATGTGTATATGCAGTGTGTGTGTGTGTGTGTGTGTGTGTGTGCAGGTATGTGAGTCTATATGTGTGCATGTGTATGAGTGAGTGTGTGTGTATGTGTGTCTGTGTGAGGGTCTGTGAGTCTATGTATGGGTGTGTAACTGTGTAGTGTGTGTGTGTGTGTGTGTGTGTGTGTGTGTGTGTGTGTTCTAAGGCTTGAACTCAGATTTTTCAAGCTTACTGGCCAAGACTTTACTGACTGTGCCATCTCCTTAGCTCTCGTCCCCAAATTTTAACATCCATGCACATCATCTGACAAGGTCATGTTACAACACAGGCTCTAATTTGACAGGGCCTGAGGTCTGAGATCTTACAACACTATCCCTGGAGTGCCAGTGTTGCCAGTGGGAGTCAAGCCTAGAAAAGAAGGTGTGCGCAGACCAGGAGGCATTAAACCAGGACCTGCAAACACACCAGAGGTCAGGTTCCTGGTCTAGATGGACTTTTTCTAACACCCACTCCAGTTGTGCACCCCCACGCTTCAGTGAGTCCTCTTCAGCCACCGTGCAATTCTTCTTTGGGCCCCTGATTCTCAGTGCTCATGCTTGCTACTTTAGGACTGTTTCCTACTGGAAAGCTGGGTATAACCGCCTTAGGCTGGCAAGCTTTTGTTTCCAGTCTTTTACCAAATCTACTTTGATCCGTGGAAGTCTTGGCTGGTGACAATGTCATAATGGGCTGGGATCCTAAACTAGACTCGTGTCACTAGTGAAGGGTGTTGGTAAAATAAGCAGCTCAGGAAGATGTCCAAAAGGAAAGGATAGGGAATGCTACCAGAATAGAGAGTCTTCCTGTGGTAGGGCAAGATGGTACAGAGGTCCCTCCATCTTGTTTTCTTGCTGATGCTGTTTTAGGCTTGACTAGAATTTTATCTTCTTGGTAAGAATCCCCATGGAAAATCAGCCAACTTTATTCCAGGATCCCAAGGTCACCTTAGCTTCTCTTCAACTGCTCGCTTGTGCAGAAACCCCTCTCTCCGCTAACTGCTCATCTTGGCTTTCGTTAAACTGCTTGTTTTTGCAAAACCTCCCCCTGAAGCTGCGAATGGAGATACCGGGATGTGGTTTTTACCTTCAAAACACTAGCCCCTTTCTCTAAACATTGGCACTACACTTGGGTCCTGGATACGTGAGTAGTCTCAGCCAGCTGGAATAAAGACTTTCAATTGGCTATCCACTGTGTTTGTGTGGTCATCTCTGGAGGGTTCCCTATTGCATTCAGTGAGCCCCACAGATGGAAAGAACTGGGGGGAGCACGTAGGGAAAAGTAAAGGCACCTGTGCTGGTTACCCATGAAGAGAGCACAAACCACGTTCTGAGTGAGACTCGCTATTGAGCGGCAGCAGAAACCAGCAGATTTGGTGGCATGAACGGCTGTATGGCACATCAGGCAAAGCTAGGCTAATTTTCTCCTGAAAAAAATGATGGCCCTAGATGGTAGAATTTCAAGGGCTAGTTCCCTTTCCTGGAGATTTCTGGAATCAACCACCAGCTACTTGCTAGCTACCAATCAGCTTGCGGGCTGCACTCATCCCACAGCTGCCATTGAATACCAGTAAGCATGTGCTCCAGGGACCACAAGGAGGGCAGGGGAGAGCAGAAGTCAGAGGCTGTCCTTAAGCTTCCTGTTCAGACCTCATGGTTACACTCTAGAGGTCATGGAGCTGTCTACAGAGCCACTGTGGACATCACTGCCACTTACGGCCAATGGCGTTGGTAGGAGAGGAGACCCGGAAAACCCCATTTGACATAGCAAGCACATCAGCAACTGCTGTGACCCCCACAGCTAGGGAAAACCCCTTATCTTCCTTTGGCCTTCCAACTCTCCCATCATTCCATCTGGCTGGCAAAATCCCTGCTACATATAGAATTCTCTAGGCAGGGCAGCCTAAGAACGGCAGTGTTCTTGTCTTAACTGCAAATCACTTTGCACTGAGGTAGAACATCCGCACAGCCACGTGTTCAAGCCATAGTCAGGGAGATTCGTGAGTTTTCATAAAATGAGCACACTCCTATGGAGCCAGCACGTAGCAAGGGGATAAACCAGAATCCCAGAAGCCACTGCTTTTTCCTAAGCCTTATCCCCCCTCAAAACACTTCAGGGGCTGGGGTAGCTCAGTGGTAGAAATAGGGCCCCAGATTTGATCTCTACTACCCAGCACCAAGCAATCTAATCAATAATGCAAAGGTGAGCCGAATAAATAGTGCTCAAAAAGAAGTGCTAATGGTCAGTAAATATATACACAAGAAGTTCAACGTCCTCAGTCATTAGGGAACTGGAAATCCAAACAACACTGAGATCCCATTTCACCCCAGTCAGAATGGCTGTCCTCCAGCGAACAAACAGCAGACGCTGGAAAGGATATAGGAGGTGATCCCTTGAACATAGTTGGTGGGAAAATAATTATTCCAGCCATTATGGGGGTTTCCAAAATAAAACAGAGTCTCCGTTATATTATCCAGATACCTAAAGGAAGTTGGGTCCGAATGTCACAGAAAGATCTGCACACCCACAGTAATCGCAACATTATTTCACAACAGCCTCGTTGTGAAATCAGCCTGGGTGTCCATCAACAGATGAATGGATTAAGAGAAATGTGATCAACCTGGTATGGTGGTGCAAGCTTTTAATCCCAGCACTTGGGGGAGCAGAGGCAGGCGGACCTCTGCGAGTTCGAGGCCGACCTGGTCTACAAAGTGAATTCCAAGACAGCAAGGGCTGTTACACAGAGAAACCCTATTTCCAAAAAAAAGGAAGGAAGGAAGGAAGGAAAAAGAAAAAATGAAGAAAGAGAGAGAGAGAGAGGGAGGAAGGAAGGAAGGAAGAAAGGAAGGAAGAAAGGAAGGAAGGAAAAAGAAAAAAAGAAAGAGAGAGAGAGGGAGGGAGGGAGGGAGGGAGGGAGGG